AGAGAGAGAGAGAGAGAGAGAGAGAGAGAGAGAGAGAGAGAGAGAGAGAGAGAGAGAGATAGAATAAAATTGAGATGGTCAAGTCTTTTGTCTCAGTGTCTCAGAGAAATAGCCTTTGATCTTTAAACCTGTATTTCCTTTAAGCCAGAGTTCCCATGCTGCTCTCCCCTCTCCAGAGGCCATGGTGACATCTGGCTCTAAGCTGCTGCTGCTGACTACTTCTGGTACAGTGATCCTGAAGCAGCTGGGGTCTGTGTGTCAGTTGCCTGTGTCACCTCAGGAGCCCATGAAAACCATGTATTGAACCATATATTGAATATGAGGGACCTGCTGAGTTGGCCCCAACCCTCACTGTCCTGGAATAACCCCTTCCCCAAGGAGAGCGACCCTCCCACCCCAGGAGAGCTGACCCTGAGCCTCCCAAGTCCTAGGATAAGAGAACCTGATGACTTTGGCATGAGAAAGCTGGCCTCACCCCTAATAGGAGAGCTGGCTCCCATACTTAGGAACGCTCACCTTACCCTGCCCCTCATGATGTGAGTACCTCTTCCATAAAATGGAGTAGTGAGAGTGTTAATACCAGAAAAATTATCAGCCTGTGGCTCTTCAGGTACAATAAGGCTTTCCAAACATCATCATGTGAATGTCTTGAGTAGTCAACCACAGCTGCTGTGATTTCATGAACGCATTTTTGCAAAGCTAAAGTACAATCCTAATTTTTAAAGATATTTAAATGATTTAAAGTTATGCTGTTGTGTGCTAGCAGAGAATGAATGCTACTAGCGAATGAAATGTGGATCTAGCTCTAACCTTAACCAACAATAAAATTAATAAATTATGAATAAATATCCTTGGATAATCCATGTAAATGTTACAAAAGGAAACTTTTTTTTTCTAGATAACACGACCAGAAATGACATCTATTACTCAGTGTTAACTGAAAAGCAAGATAGGAATGTTGAACAATATTTTGTGTAATGAAATTTCAAAATATCTGTACTTACATAGTGTATATGATATAATAAAGTACATAAAACCATAAGTGAGTGTGTGGTTGTGTTTGTAAATACATAAAACCAATTTGATATAATATAGTATATTTTATTTTGAAACATCAAAAGATTTGAAATAAATGCATGGTTGGTAGGGTAGGTTAAGAATAGGTCTCTGAATGGATGAGATCTACTTGAGCAAACTGGCCGTGAGGGGGTGTAATGAAGGGCAAGGATTAGGGGAAAGAGAACTTAGGGGAGTGGGAGGTCCCAGCTGGATCAAGAACGGAGGGGGAGAACAAGGAAAGAGACACCATGATAAATGAAGACCCCATGGGATTAGGAAGAAGCAGAGTGTTAGAGAGGTTCCCAGAAATCCACAGTGATGACTTCACTATAGACTACTGGCAATGGTCGAGAGGGTGCCTGAGCTAACCTGCTCTGGTGATCGGATGGCCAAACACCCTAACTGTCATGATAGAACTCCCATGCAGTGACTGGTGGAAGCAGACGCAGAGATCCGTGGCCAGGCCCCAGGTGGAGCTCCAGGAGTCCAATTGGGGAGAGAGAGAGAGAAGTGTAGATGTAACCAACCGTCTTATTAAATAAGAAACACAGAACCAATGTAAAAGAGAAAGCCAAGAGGTCATAGCTCAGAGCTAAAATCTCACCCTTCCTCCTGCAGTGGTCCTAGCTCTCTAAAAAAAAAACCTATTTTCTGTGTGTATGTCTTTTCATAGTCTTTTTGTTCTGCCTTCTCATTGGTTGTAAACCCAAACATGTGACTGCCTCATCACTGCCTGTATGTACAGCCCCCCAGGTCTTAAAGGCATATGTCTCCCATGCTGGCTGTATCCCTGAACACACAGAGATCTACCTAGCTCTTCTACCAAGTGCTGGGATTAAAGGCGTGTGCCACCACTGCCACACTCTTGCTATGGCTCTAATAGCTCTCACCCCTGGGCAACTTTATTTATTAACATACAATCAAAATCACATTTTAGTACAATTAGAATACCACCACAGAGGAGGGTTTATATGAGCAAGAGATATTGAGACCATGACTGGAAAAAGCACAGGGACAAATAGCCAAACTGGTGGTAACACATGAACTGTGAACCAATAGCTGAGGAGCCCCCCATGGAACTATACCAGGCCCTCTAGGATAAGTGAGACAGCTGATGAGCTTGAACTGTTTAGGAGGCGCCCAGGCAGTGGGACTGGGACCTGTACTTGTTGCATGAGCTGGCTTTTTGGAACCTAGGGCCTATGCTGAGACACTGTGCTCAGCCTTGGTGCAGGGAGGAGGGGACTGGACCTGCCTCAACTGAATCTACCAGGCTGAGCTGAATCCCTAGGGGAGATCTTGCCTTGGAGGAGGTGGGATTGGGGGGTGAACTGGGGGTGAAGAGGCTGGAAGGTGGGAGGAGGAAGGACAGGGAATCCGTGGCTGATACATAAAATTAAATTAACTATAAAATAAAAATATTTATTAAAAAAGGATAGGTCTCTGTACACTGGTGTGGCTCTGGATCTCATATTGTGGAGCACATTATCAATTTTGAAATAAAAACAAGGGCAAAGTATAACCCTAACTTTGAAGATTTTAAAGATTAAGTTTTAAGTTATCTATTCTGTTTTGTGCTGGGAGAATTTTATCAATTAAAAAATACCAGCAAGAATGACAAAGAAGAGCCCATTGTAGGGCAGTTTAGTCCTGTGTTTAACTAATCCCAAATGAATTGAGAATGAATTATCTCCTGAGAATAGATAGAGTCTATGCTCTTATTAGGAAAATTGTTTGACCAAAGGGAAGACAGGTAGAATGTATCAGTTGATTGGTATACTTTTCCCCTCTGTCTCTCTATATTGTTTGGTTTTCAAGGAAGATGGGTCATGACATCACTACATACAAGTCTAGAATTTCTGTTTGCATCTTCTGTTCTTTAGTTGAGTGTATCAGGGATTTGTACACTGGCCAGAGAAGGTAAAGTTGTGTTTATGTTTGTGTAGATTTCAATCTTTACCTTATCCAGAGACCTTCAAAAGGTTTTACCTTCTATTGTCTTAAAATCTTATCAGTTGCTTCATTTTCGAGGATGACAATGGTGTATTTTATAGCACATGCAGTTTCAGTGAAACAATAGAAGAGACTAAAGATACATTTATTTTCACTTCTAGGTGAGACTGTTAGCAATCTTACAAGCAATTTAGCATGAAGTTTTTGATGTAACAGGCTTCAGTGTAGTAAACAGAGTCAAGAGTGACCTGAATGGGAAAAACTTCTTGAGATTTTTATTAATATGTTTAATTTTGTGTTTCAAGTAGCAACATTCAAGTTACGTTGTAGACTGTAGGATTTTATATCCGATTGGTATTAGCATATACACCAAATAGCATGTTTCACATTAGTGAAGAAAAGAATTTTTATCTATCATTGAAAGATTTACTTTACTGGGAAAATGCAAGGATCCTCAAATTATCACTTAAATACATTTATTGCTATTATTTTTACATTTTAGTATGTTTTAATTATCATGTGAACTACAAAACAGTACCTGTAAGTTTTGATGAAAAAAATATGTTTATTCCTAAAGAGAAAAAACACTGAGACTCAGAAGACTACAACAGGAAAAAGTGGATAATGCCCATTATCAGCTTTATCACTTGCTGAACTCCCTGCCTAGAAAGTAGTACATCACATTTGGTGATAACTTATACACAGACTGTATGTTGTCTGTTAAGCATCAGAAGAGAATAGGACTGATTAGAAGAGCTCGTGGTTTGAAAATGAAAATCCTATAGAAAATTTTATTTATTCTGTTGATTCCTTGAGAAGGAAGGCACTATTATACTTTGAGATAAAAAATCATTTGTAAGAGTTATTTTTTTGTCCTCAAGAAAGTTTAAAGATAAAAATTACAAAGTGATCTTAGTAAGAAGAAAATATTAAAATGCTATGAGTACCTTAGACTTCATAGAAAGTAGTTATTGATCCCTGGCTCTGTTTAAATTGTTTTCTCTGGTCTTTGTTTTAATTCCCACAAATTAAAAATTTACTTATTTTTATAACTAAAGAAAATCTCATCTTACTTCTCTCTTGGGAAATACATTTATTCCTGGCCATTTTAAACTACACATGTATTAAGGTTGAAAATAACCATGACAGTTTTAGGTTTAGTAAATATGATCAGGTGCTCAGTTTGTACCTATAAACTAAGTTTGGAAATAGTATTAGAATTAAAATTAAATGTCATATATTCAATCCTGAAAGCATACAATATGTGAAACCAGAACATAATGAAGATACTATTAAAATATTTTTACATAGTTCAAAGGAATCTTGTAATATAGAAATAATGACTGTATGTAAAATTTTTGTGTATAGAAAGGCTGTAAACTCCTAGCTACAAAAGTATTTCCTTTCAAAAAGATGTTTGAGGAATGAGCAGAGATTAGAAAATCTTAGTGGAAGTGCTCTTATTTCATTGAATACAGTAATATCAATATTTAAACATTTGTTTCTTTTACATTGAATTTACACTTTAATTTTTTTTTATCAATAGATTCTACGGACTATAAATCAGAATGAGAAACCACTCTATGATTACTGAGTTTGTACTCTTGGGTATATCAGACACACCAGAACTTCAGGTTGTAATTTTCATTTTTTTATTCATAGCTTATATATTAAGTGTATGTGGAAACCTAAGCATCATCACACTTACTTTGCTTGACTCTCAGTTAAAGACTCCTATGTATTTTTTCCTCCAGAACTTCTCCTTCCTAGAAATTATGTTCACCAGTGTTTCCATCCCTAGATTTTTGGGGTCAATAATTACTAAAGTCAAGACTATTTCCTATAATAATTGTTTGGCTCAGTTATTTTTCTTAATCTCCATGGGTGTTTCTGAGTTCTTTCTTCTAACTGCTATGTCTTATGATCGCTATGTCGCCATCTGCAAACCACTGCATTACACCACCATCATGAACCAGAAAGTTTGCACCCTTCTTGTTCTCACTGCATGGCTGGGAGGATTTCTGTTCATCTTCCCATTAGTCATACTGGTCCTCAAGTTAGACTTCTGTGCTTCTAATGTCATCGATCATTTCTGCTGTGACTACTTCCCCATCTTACAGCTCTCCTGCTCAGATACAAGGCTTTTAGAGGCATTTGGCCTTTATGTTGCCTCCATCACTCTGCTGTTCACACTGGCTCTAGTGATCCTGTCATACATCTGCATCATCAGCACTATTCTGAGGTCTCCATCTGCCAGTCAGAGGAAAAAGGCTTTCTCCACCTGTTCCTCTCACATGATTGTCATCTCCATCTCTTATGGAAGCTGCATTTTCATGTATGTCAAACCTTCTGCCAATGAAAGGGCATCACTGACCAAAGGTGTGGCTGTTCTCAACACTTCAATTGCTCCCATGTTGAACCCTTTTATTTACACATTGAGAAATCAACAAGTAAAACAAGCCTTCAAGGATTTGATTAATAAAGTAATGTTTCATAGAGACAAATGAAAATACAGGTTAGCTTGAATGTCATTATACCCCTCCAAAAAGGAGGGATGAAACTTTGTATTATGAGCTCATTGGTTTCAGCTTTCTTAAAAAATATTTTGTGTGTATTGATGTTTTGCTTGTATGTATTTTTGTGTACCAAGTTGAAATCTGGTTCCTACAGAAACCAGAAGAGGTCATTGGATCCCCTGGAAGTAGAGTTATAGATGGTTGTAAGCCACCATATGGGAACTGGGAATTGCACCATTGTAGTTGGAAAGAATAGCATGCCCTTTTAACTGCTGACCCATCTCTTCAGACCCTCAACTTTCTTTAAATTTTTTTAAAAAAAGTATTTATTTATTTATTTTTATTAAGAAATTTTTTTCATTCATTTTACACACCAAAGATCCCCCTCTTCCTTTCTCTGGCCCTACCAGCCTCCCCCTCTGAACCCACCTCCACTCCCACCCACAAGAAGGCAATGCCTCCAGTAGGGGCAAGTCCAAGCCCTTCCCCCGCCTCAAGGCTGCAGGAGGTTCCCATCATAGGGATGTCAAAAATCCTGCTCATGCATCAGAGATGGATTCTGATCTTACCGCCAGGGGGGCCTCCCAAGCAGATCAAGCTACACAATTGTCTCACCATGCAGAGGGCCTAGTCTAGTCCCATGTAGATTCCACGACCATTGAGCCAACTTTCATGAGTTCCCTCCAGTTTGGTTTGGTCATCCCTGCATGTTTCCCCTTCATGGTCCTGATGCACTTGCTCATAGAATCCCTCTTCTCTCTCTTTGACTGGACTACTGGAGCTCGCTTAGTGATTGGCTGTAGATCTCTGCATCTGCTTCCATCAGTCATTGGAGAAAAGCTCTGTGATGACAGTTAGGGTATTCACCAGTCTGATATCTGGGGTAATCCAGTTCAGTTCAGGCACCCTCTCTATTATTACTGGTAGTCCAGGCTAGGGCATCCTTGCGGATTCCTGGCAACTTCCCTAGCACTGGGTTTCTCTCTGTCTCCATGATATCTCTCTCTATCATGGTATATCTTTCATTGCTGTTTCCCTCCCTCCCTGTTCCAGATCAACCATCCCATTCCCTTATGTTCTGTTCCCCCATCCCCTACTCTTCATTGCCCACCCCTCATCCCCAATTTACTCATGGAGATGTCATCTATTTCCCCTTCCCAGGATGGTCCATGTGTCCGTCTTCCCTGTTAGTTAGCTTCTCTGGAGTTGTGGGTTGTTGCCTGATTATCCTTTGATTTATATCTAGTATCCACTCATGAGTGGGTACATACCATGTTTGTCCTTCTGAGTCTGGGTTACTTCACTCAGGATGGTATTTTCTAGTTCCATCCATTTGCCTGCATATTTCATGATGTCATTGTTTTTCTCTGCTGAGTAGTACTCCATTGTGTATATGTGCCACATTTTCTTAATCCATTCTTCTGTTGAGGGGCATCTAGGTTGTTTCCAGATTCTGGCTATTACAAATAATGCTGCTATGAACATAGTTGAGGATATGTCTTTGTGGTATGATTGAGCATTTCTTGGGTATATGCCCAAGAGTGGTATAGCTGGGTCTTGAGTTAGATTGATTTCCAATTTTCTGAAAAACTGCCATACTGATTTCCAAAGTGGCTGTACCATTTTGCACTCCCACCAACAGCAGAGGAGTGTTCCCCTTGCTCCACATTATTTCCAACATAAGCTGTCTGCAGTGCTTTTGATCTTAGCCATTCTGACAGGTGTAAGATGGTATCTCAGAGTTGTTTTGATTTGCATTTCCCTGATAATTAAGGATGCTGAGCAATTCCTTAAGTGCCTTTCAGCCATTTGAAATTCTTCCTTTGAGAATTCTCTGTTTAGCTCTATAGTCCATTTTTTAAATTGGATTGTTTGTTATTTTGATGTCTAGTTTCTTGAGTTCTTTATTTATTCTGGAGATCAGCCCTCTGTCAGATGTAGGGTTGGTGAAAATCTTTTCCAATTCTGTATGCTGTTGTTTTGTCTTATTTACTGTGTCCTTTGCCTTACAGAAGCTTCTCAGTTTCAGGAGGTCTCATTTATTAATTGTTGTTCTCAGTGTCTGTGTTATTGGTGTTATATTTAGGAAGTGGAATCCTGTGCCAATGCGTTCAATACTATTTCCTACTTTCTCTTCTATCAGGTTCAGTGTGACTGGTTTTATATTAAGGTCTTTGATACACTTGGATGAATTTTGTGCATGGTGACAGATATGGATCTATTTGCAGTGTTCTACATGTTGACATCTAGTTAGGCCAGTACCATTTGTTGAAAATGCTTTCTTTTTTTCATTGTACAATTTTGGCTTCTTTGTAAAAAAAAAATCAGGTGTTCATAGGTGTGTGGGTTAATGTCAGGGTCTTCAATTCAATTCCATTGGTCCACATGTCAGTTTTTATGCCAGTACCAAGCTGTTTTTATTACTATAGCTCTATAGTAGAGTTTGATGTCAGGGATGGTGATGCCTCCAGAGATGACTTTGTTGTACAGGATTCTTTTAGCTATCCTGGGTTTTCTCTTTTTCCAAATGAAGTTGAGTATTCTTTCCAGGTCTGTGAAGAATTGTGTTGGGATTTTGATGGGGATTACATTGAATCTGTGGATTGCTTATGATAAGATTGCCATTTTTACTATGTTAATCCTTCCTATCCATGAGCATTGGAGATCTTTTCATTTTCTGACATCTTCTTCAATTTCTTTCTTCAGAGACTTAAAGTTTTTGTCATACAGGTCCTTCACTTGCTTGGTTAGTGTTACCCCAAGGTATTTTATATCATTTGTGGCTATTGTAAAGGGTGATGTATCTCTGATTTCCTTCTCAGCCTGTTTGTTAATTGTATATAGGAGGGCTACTGATTTTTTTTTTGAGTTGATCTTGTATCCTGCAATGTTGCTGAAGGTGTTTATAAGCTGTATCAGTTCCTTGGTTGAATCTTTGGGGTCACTCCAGTATACTATCATGTCATCTGCAAATAGGGAAAGCTGGGAAAGCTTGACTTCTTCCTTTCCAATTTGTATCCCCTTAATCTCCTTATGTTGTCTTATTGCTCTGGCTAGAACTTCAAGTACTATATTGAATAAGTATGGGG